TTTAGTTCGCTCGCAACGTTTGGATCTCTTTGCGAACGAACGCAAAGTTTCTTAGAGTAACGCAAAAGAATTGACAAATAATGTTTCCTCCATCTCATAATTTTTTTCTTTATCATAATTTTTTTCTTTATCATGTACCTTTAGGGGCTCCGTAACATTCTTTCAACATTTAGTCACGCGCTCTCTCTCTCTCTCTCTCTCTCTCTCTCTCTCTCTCTCTCTCTCTCTCTCTCTCTCTCTCTCTCTCTCTCTCTCTCTCTCTCTCTCTCTCTCTCTCTCTCTCTCTCTCTCTCTCTCTCTCTCTCTCTCTCTAGCACAATAAAAGAGATATTATGTTGAATTTGCATACTCTTCTTTTTTAGAAAAGGGCAAAAATACAAATGACACTAGTGTTATTTTAGTATTATTTATTTTGAATAAATAAAATTAAATAAGATTAAATATAAAACTTACTTTATTTCACCTAATTGGCAAAGCAACGTTTCTCATTTTCATTTAGTAAGATGAAGTACTAAAATAACTAAAAATTAACTAAAACTAACAAACTAGATAGACTTTTTTTTAACGACTAAACCTTCAATTAAAGTGAAAATATAAAGCTAAAATCTATATCAACATATTAATGCAAATATAATACCATGAGTTTTTAAGAAAATATATATTTACTTCAACTTCAACTTAATGAAAATTCGAAATGTTGTCTTGGCAGATAAATTAACTAAAATGTTTAAGTTTCTCATCTAATACATACAGTGTATATATATATATATATATATATATATATATATATATATATATATATATAATTTTATTTCAACAAGTTATTGCAATATTTTTAGTTAATAACAACACTGTAAAAAAGTTGTTGCCTTAATTTTGTAAGTACAATAAACTTGTATGTTTAAGTCATTTCAACTTAAGTTAAATTAAATTGACTTAAAAATTTGTTGAATTGTGTATAACTTATAAAAAAAGTTGAAAATAGCTTATTTTGATGAGTTAAAGCAATGTAAAAACATATGATATGACTTATTGATCATATAATTTTACAGCGTAAAAAAAAGTGTTCCGAAGTCAAACGATAGCTTGGTGTGAAAAGAAAGCTATTCTCTAATAATCTCATACACATTTGAGTTAAAATAAGTGTGGACGTGCGAGTCCAGGCTTGATGTCAATGCCGCTAAGAAACAGATTTTGAAAAGTTGACATGTAAAGAAGAGCAAAAGTTGACATGTTTCATTTTTGGGTGAATTATTCCTTTAATGCAACAACAGGAAGCGTTCTGTCATGGAGAGTCCAACACCTCAAGGCATTTTTCTCCATAGAGGATTCATCTCTCCATACATGCCTCTTGCATCCACAGTGCTCTTTATATCATTAGTTTATGTCCGCCACAAAATATAACACCGTAGGGCTTTCATATATTAATCTGGCACTGAGATCAACCCCAAGGCCGGGCTGGGTGGAAAAGCTTGCCAGCTGGGTCAGTCTGTGTCCAGGCCTCTGGCTGGGTTCACAATCCCCAGTGAACAAAACCAATCCAGACTCTGTTGTGCTCTGTTCTGTCTCCACGCGCACCCGGCGCCATCGCTATCAAACGTGACACAGTTTCGAAGAGACCGGGGAGATGATTTTCTATTATTAGAGCGATGTTCCTTCCATCCATTCAACCTGACATTACTCTGAACAGGAATACATCGCAAGCACCAAAGAGGTTTGCTTGTGCAATCTAATAAAAATAGGGTGTTTCTTCAACTTTGGGCTCTTTTGGGCTTGTGGAATGATTCCACACGTTCCACGCTCTTATTAGTTTGCTTAGTTTGATCTAAAAATGTCCAACTGTGTGTATGTGTACATTTGCCTAAGGGAAAATCCAGTCATTTCAATAGGAAACTGTTCAATTGGGAATTTTGAATGAATGCAAAACATTTCCCCATGCAGATTTGGCAACGGGTTAAGGTTTGTCACCTGGAATTTTAAGCAAAATTTGGAAACACTTTATTTGACAGTGTCCTTGTTTCATGCACTTACAATAGTAATAACAGTAAATTATGCATAATTACATGCAAAAAAAACCTCAACCATATCCTAATCATACCCAAACCCTATAGGAAGTGCATGTTGTTAATTATTATTACCCAGTACCTAAATATATAATTACACTGTAACAATGACACCTTAAAATAAAATAACCCAAAATTTGCTACTGTAACCATACCTAAACTCCTGCAAAATTTCTAAATTTTACACTTTATTAGTAGCGTCCTGTGTTGGAAATGACACTTTCAACATTTTTTAAATAAATGCTAAGGCTATTTTCATAGCTAGCTTTTTTTGTGTATCCTAAATATACACAACAAAATAATATTTGTATATATATATATATATATATATATATATATATATATATATATTTAAGAATTTTGCTAAAATTGCCGCTCACCTTGGTAAAGTATAATGCAAACTTTAAAAAACTTTGTTTGGGACAATATTGATTGTCGTGGAAATATCACCACAACTCGTAATTTGTCTAAAAATGGACCACACCATAAATATTGAAATAGTTTATCATTGTATCATTTATGATTGTTTTGTTAATAGTTTATGATGTATTTTCATATTTAACATATCAAATCTGGGCCTGAGTCAAGGGTAAAACTAGACAATCTAAAATAAAAGCTATTTAAAAAGTAGCAAAAAAAATATGACGAAGACATTACACAAAGTTTACAAGGCACAATCCATGGAACTTGATTATACTAGCTTTCAAAAGTTTGGGATCCATAAAATTTTGATTTATGCATTTATTTATTTGTTTATATATTTAAGAAATATATACCTTTATTTAGAAAGGATACATTAATTTGAAAAGGGACAGTAAATACATTTATAAAGTTGCAATTTCAATTGCAAATAAAAGTTAATTTTATTTCATCTACCCGTAATTCCTCAAATAAAGACCGGTATTCAAATAAACGCCGGGCCTCTGATAGTGGCCGGGGGCGTGGTCAACGCGGACAAATAAAGGCCGGTCTCAAATTAAGGCCGGGGAAAAAATAGTGTGAATAGGTACACTTTAAATGAGTGTACACTCAAAGACGGACGCGCTCAGCGCTTGTCATATATCACAACTATTCAGTGTTTTTAACCACATGTTTATTTTAGGTTTCAGACATTTAAATAGATATGATTTATAGCAAAACAATAAATTTATAGTTTGTAAAATACACAATGGTGTCTATGGAAGCAGCAATAACAATCCATTCAAATATATTTGGCGACGTGTTTTATTCATATCAGATACACAGTGTAAGTAACTATAAAGTTTACTCTATTCTTCTCCCAGTTCACCGGCAACTTACTTTCATGTAGCTATTTCGGGAGAAACTGAAGAATTCACGCGCTGTAACTTAACAAATACAACAGGAATCTCCGAACTGTGGTGCCCATCTCACGTTACAGATCAAGATCATTTATAAAGAGTTTTAAACGACAAAACAAACTCACTTACACGGATTTGAGAGTCAGAATAGAAGATAGTTGATGACATGGTAAGCAAGTTTGTTAATATTTAGAAATAAAAGCGCTACATCTGTCATACAGCGCTATTTTGGCTGTGGTGAACACGTGCCAAGCATGACGCGTCACCATGGAAACTTGGCTGGCGGGCGGGCGGGGATCGCGAATTAGAAATAAAGGCCTGCCTCTAATAAAAGCCTGCTTCAAATAAAAGCCGGCTACCATCTGCAGTTCAGGTAAATAAAGGCCCCGGCCTTTATTTGAGGAATTACGGTATTCATCAAAGAATCCTGAAAAAAAAGGCATAACAGTTTCCTCAAAAATATTAAGCAGCACAACTGTCTTCAGCATTGGTAATAATCATAAATGTTTCTTGAGCATCAGATCATCATATGTGTGTGATGTGTGCGATATATATATATATATATATATATATATATATATATATCAATCAATATATATTAGTGTTACTTATATATATATATTTATAGTAGTTATTAATTATTTAAATTAGATTAGAGGTGTCAAAAAGTACCGATTCCGGTAACGGAACTTCGGCATTCTAACTGAAATAAATTAAGTTAAAGTTGAAATAAATTACTAAAACTAAAATTGTAAAAAAAAAAAAAAAAAAAATTAAAGCTAAGTGGAAATATATATAAAATGCTATTAAACATGACAAAACCACAAACCAAAATGACTAAACCTTCAACTAAAGTTAAAATGAAAACTGAAAATATAAAAGTAAAATCTAATTTGTTCATTGTATTCTCGCGCTCATCGGATTCGTCTGTGATTGGCTACACAAGGGTGTTTATGATTCTGCTCAACGGCGTCACCATTTAAAAGATTTCAGTACCGTTTGGTACCGAAGTCGGTACTTTTTGAAAACTCTAAATTAGATTTTACTTTTATATGTGTGACGGGAGACAACATTATTTCATTAATATTACCTTTTATAAATAAAGAAAATAATGTTTAAAAATCTCAATGGACACTCCTGGCATAATTGTGCAAGTGTCTATTTTTGAGCCTCAGATCATCATATGTGTGATGTGTGTGATATATATATATATATATATATATATATAATTTTTTTTAATAGATGGACCTTTTGTGTACAAGAAACTTCTTTCAAAAAACATTAAAAGATCTTACCGACCTCAAACTTTTGAATGGAAGTGTTTAACATAAACAGGAGGGAAAAATCTTAATTGGAGTCTTAAAGTCTTATTGAAAATCAACTCATAAGCTGCCTGTAGATAATGAAACACCTCTAAATGTTCAGCGCAAAGTCTCTAAGTGTCAAGACATGTTGACACCTCAAGAATAAAAGTTAGCACCCCATCACCAGAATCCACATGAATACTGGTCTATGTCACACAACAATGAGAGATGTTGGTGTTCCCTGGATATCATTAGCATTATCGTCGTCCCCCCCCCCCCCCAAAAAAAAACAATCAATCACGCCGCAATCTTACCATCAATAGTGGCTCTTTTTGGCAGGATGGTGACAGCGCCGACGGCGGCATCCTCGAGGCCTTGAATAGGGCTGTTCTTGGCTCCCCAACTATCCGACCCAATCCACAGGAAATGGCCCACTTGATCCGCTCTTTTACTGGCGTTAAGGATCCCCCTGCGAACATTCCCACACATGGAACCATTACCCTGACATTGAGGCCCTCTGTGACTCTTCAAGAGAGCAGGAGAGCAATTGCAATGGCATCCAGATCGAATCGTTATCGAGAATGAAATACAAAATAGCAATTTTGAATCGGTTGGAGGATTGATGGCATGCTGATGTCATTAATCAATACCCTTAGCGCCTGAGCTTATCCAGCAAACAAGATATAAACCCCTGAAGTGCACCCTTGAGTTTTATCTAAGTAATAGCTTTCAGGCCAGCAGAGTATTGACTTCTTGTCATCAACAACTTTTACATTGTTATTTTTGGAGCTCAAACGGGAGCGATTAATTGTTTGAAAATGGAATTTAATGTAGCTCTATCTTGCAATTTCCTGTCAACAGCTTACCGAATATCTTCGTCGTACGCAAAAATAATGACCGCCCGGGCATGACGTGTCTCCAGCAGCTGTCGGATAATCTTGTCAAAATCAGCCTGCTTGTGGTCATGAGGGATCTTCAGGGACTGAGCGATGCAGATTCCACCTAGAGGAAGAAAAGAAAGAGGCACATGAGTGAAGCCAGTGACGCATTTAACCCTTGTGTTATGTTGCGGGTCAATTTGACCCGTTTCGATTTTCTAGTTGTTGGAAATACTGGTTAACCTTTGGGGTTTTTTTTCTTGATAATTTGTGACTTTTTCTAATTTATCATGATGAACATGGATGCAAAGTTTCAACATGCTGATGTGTTTTGACATATACAAACAAAATTACTATTACGTTCGTGATGTTCGCGGGTCAATTTGACCCTCATAGGCAGATATTCAAAAGCAACTGTACAGACACAAAATAAAAACATTTATTTTCTGTATGTAAGGGCACTTCAACTCCAGTTCTAACGTGCAAGTGCATCTAAAAGTGCTCTAACCCTAACCAAACACACTTGAAAAAGCTAAAATCACAGTGTTTAGAATTATTAGCAAATTACAGATGAAAATCTTTGTCAGACACAGATAGTAAAATAAGCTCTCATTTCAATATTCAATATATCTTAAAATACCTAGCTTTTAACCAAAACTTTTATGTAGGATTTTCAAAGGCAGCTTCACAGAGCCAAAAAATAAATAAAAAACATTTATTTGATGTATGTTTTTGTTATGTTTGGTTTCTCACTTCCCAGTGAGTGAATAATGAAACTAGGGAACCAGGTCTTAGGAAACTAGGGAAAGTTAACTTAGGAAAATTAAAAATTTTCATTATACAGCAAAATTGTATTGTTCAGTTACGATGTTTTAAAGCATAAAAATAAAAAATAAAAAGTAAAAAAAATGTATATGCAAAAAAAGTCAGTGTACTGTTTATTGTCCAATTTTGTCAAAAATTGGTTTAAAAAATGGTTTAAATTTTTTTTTTATAAATCACATTTTCAGATATAATGTTTTTGTAATGTTTGACCAATGTTGATATAAAAAGTTTACAGTTTGTATCTAATTCTTTGTTGTTTTTCATAGTGTGATTTTTGAGGAATTGTATTGAATCCAATTAGGGTCAATTTGACCCGGTCCATAAAGGCTGTACACCAAATTCGAACAGTGCACAAGGGTTAAAAATGGACGAACATTCCCCTAACGTTAAATGGTTTCCATTCGGTTATTTTTGGTGCCAAATAACAACATTCCATGAATGTTCTCTGTCGGTTCCTATTTGGAACCAAAATTAAGCTTCTTAGAATTTTGAAGGCAGGTTTTATTGTGACAAGCTAAAGAGAATATAGAATGTTTTCTGTAAAAACTGTAAAAAAGAAGAAAAAAAGTTGCTGTCTTAACATCTTAAGTACAATCAACTTGGATGTTTAAGTCATTTCAACTTAAAGGAGTAGTTCACTTTTAAAAAAACTTTTGCTGATAATTTACTCACCCCCATGTCATCCAAGATGTCCATGTCTTTCTTTCTTCAGTCGAAAAGAAATTAAGGTTTTTGATGAAAACATTCCAGGATTTTTCTCCATATAATGCACTTTACTGGGCAGCAAACGGTTCAAGGTCCAAAAGACAGTTTCAGTGCAAACTGCAAACTGTTCAAATGGTTTTAAATGACACCAGACGATGAATAATGGTCTTATCAAGCGAAACGATCGCTCATTTAAAAAAAAATATAACAACGTTTAAGTTTTATAAGCTCACATGCTCGCCTTGCTCTGTTCTGTGTGACTCTCCTGTTCGAACTCGTTCATCAAAATGAACAAATCTTTTTCCGAGTCAATTTGTTCATTTCGGTCGTTAAATTAATCAAATGACTCGAAAAAAGATTTGTTCATTTTGATGAACGAGTTCGAACAGGAGAGTCACGAACGTGCATCAAAAACGTTTGCACTGAAACTGTCTTTTGGACCTTGGACCGTTTGGTGCCCAGCAAAGTGCATTATATGGAGAAAAATCCTGGAATGTTTTCATCAAAAACCTTAATTTCTTTTTGACTGAAGAAAGAAAGACATGGACAACTTGGATGACATGGGGGTGAGTAAATTATCAGTAAAAGTTTTTTTAAAAGTGAACTACTCCTTTAAATTACATTAAACTGACTTTAACACATTAGTTGAATCTTGTATAACATAAAAAAATAAATTGATTAACTTATTTTGATGAGTTAAAGCAATGTAAAAAAATATGTTGCCATAACTATCTTATAATCGTAAGCTAGTTTTATCATATAATCAGATCATATAGTTTTTTACAGTGTGGTTATTTTTAGGTTTTGATTTGATATCCATAAACTAACCTTCCAATAGAACCGACACAGAACGTTCATCATGGTTACTTGTAGGTTTTATTTTTATAACCATAATCTAACCTTCCCAGAAACAATACAGAAAATTACATTTATAAAATTTAGTGCTGAGCTAAAATAAACGTTTGTGTTTACATAATATGTGTGTATAATTATTTTGTATATATAAATGCACACATATGCATGTATATATTTACGAAAATGTGTTATTTATATAAAAAATATTTTATTTATAAATAATATAAATTATGTATAAATATATATATATACAGTATATACATGCAAATATTTTTTTAAATATTTTTTAAAATATACATGCATATGTGTGTGTGTGTGTATATACCCCCACTTTGAAGGTAGGGAAGGGTTCGTGCCCCACCTGTCCTCATGCAATCGCCCCAACAAAATGTTAATAAACTAAGCTTTAAGTTAAAATGTATTTTATTAACATGACATTTTAAAAACATAAACATGACAGTAGCTAAAAATAATAATGCAATTGTGTTTGTATTTTGCCTCTGATAACATCAAATTCAGAAACGGAGAAAATAAAAGTGTGGACTAAATGTGCTTTGCTTTATTTTGTCACTTCGCAAACTGCATCCAAAAAGAACAAACAAAATTGAAAAAGAATAATAAAAATCTCAGGGTTTTTCCTGGCTCAAAACGAGGCGGAAGTGGTAAAATCCTAATAATGTACGTATTTTAGGAAATTTTACAATAATAATTGTATTTTGTATTTTTCGAAGACTATCATATAAGCTACTGTGTTTCCCACAGTATTTTGTGTGTGGTGTGGACCTCTGCACCCGGGTCCGGGGGCATGCTCCCCGGAAGAAAAGTTTGTACGTTTTAAAGATAAATTCATAAATATGGTGCACTTTGAAAGTTCAAAATTAAGTGATTTAATGTCTGCAATGAGCCTGTTTTTTAGTAGGCTACACATATTTTCTGAACCAGAAAATCGCCGCTCACCGCTTGACATCACAACTATTCAGTGTTTTCAACCACATAATGTTTATTTTAGGTTTCAGACATTTACATTCACATAAATAAGTTATTAAAAAGCAATACATTTAGAGTTTGTCAAATACACTTATGTCTATGGAAGCGGGAATAATATTTATTTCCATTATAATTAGACGACACGTATTATTCATATCAAATACACATCGTGTAAGTAAATTTCAAGTTTACTCTATGCTTCTCTCAGTTCACCAGCCACTTAACGTTACTTTCATTTCGGGAGAAGTGGATAAATTGACGTTTGTTAAATCCAACAGGTCCGATCCTCTAAAATCCGGCATAAACTAATGCCCATCGCGTATAGCTCAACTAAGGTGTTTAAACAACAGAACACATACACTTGCTCATATTTGACAATCGGAATATCAGATATTTCCTGCTATAGCCAACACATTTGTGAAATAAAAGCAGATAATCAGTCATTCAGCGCTATTGTGGCTGCGGTGTGACAAGCAATGACGCGTCACCATGGAAACCATAAAGGGATATGATCTAAATAACGGGCGCCTCTAAAAACTTTTAAACTTACGTGTGAAAAGGTTAAGTAAGGCTTCCATTTAAATGTGTCATTGTTTTGTTTTGAGTTTATGCTCAATAAATAAAGGAATTAATAGAGATGGGCACAAAAATTACCACATTTTCTCCCGTTTGTCGCGCCCCACTTGTCATGTTTCCATTCCCCACCAGTGGGGCGCGCCCCACACTTTGAGAAACGCTGATATATATATATATATATATATATATATATATATATATATACAACATAATTATTTTGGATGCGATTAATCACGATGAATCATTGCCCAACACTAATAAAATTGCATCCATATCTATTTACGACCCCTAAAATCGAAGACTTTCTTATCTGGGAATTTGCAACGAACAGCACTGCTATGGAAAAGTATTAGGATATGTCAGAATCCATCAACAGTTCAGCAGGTTTTGAATCAGATAGAAATGGAATATGTCACTCTCTTATATCAACCCATTCCCTTTCCCATTTAATATATGAATATTCTACGTGATAGACAGGATCACTCTGCTTAGGAACAACAAAATTCAAAGCTTCTTGGCAGAGGTGTAAGTGAAAGTGAAACACAGCTTCCTCTTTTTTATTTGCAGGTTGATGACGAGTCCAAATCTCCCCGGTGATTTATCAGATAGCCGACATCAATATCTGGGTCCGTTCCTGTTGCCCCGGAGTGGCACTTTTATGAACTTGGCATCGGAACATTGGAAATGCGATAAAAAGGGACGGACATACGATGTAAACCCATCGCAGTCGCTTCAAAACACTGGCTTTTCTGGAAAGAGAGGCACCAAACTTGGCATCACTCCACGTTTGGCCCGATCAAATCTCACAGCAGCAGCGCTCTTCTGTTTCCCGTTCATCGCTGTGTACTTGGCCTTGGGAATGTTTCCCATTATCTGGAATATTCACTGGGGAACCTCATACTGTTCTACCATTCTGAGATAGATGAATGCCATGGAGCAGAATGAATGCCAGGATTGCGGATGTTTATTGCGATTCAAATGCGTTTCATGAATGCAAGAACACTTTCACAAATGCTAATGCGGTCTAGACGGGTCATCCAAAATACATGATGACAAAGTTCAATCGCAACTTGGTGTGTGTGAATCATGAAAAGGATTACATGACAGACAGATTCACTAGCACATGCTTGAATCCCTTTAACTGATTTATTAAAAGAAGCAGCTCAAATGAGTCAT